CACCAGAGGGGGCAGGACGGGGAGGAGGAGGGGGGGGGGGCAGGGACAACCGGGGAAGGAGTGACCAGGAATAGGGGGGGGGTAACCGGGGGACCGCGGTGGGGGAAGCGACGGTAGAAGGAGACGGACTTGTCAAAGGTGACGTCGCGAGAGTGAAAGAAGCGGTGAGACGGCGGGTGGTAAAAGTGCCAGTCGGACGCGTTAAGGGGAAAACCAAGGAAGACGCAGGGAAGGGTGCGGGCACTGAGCTTGTCCGTGCCGGAGGCACGGACGTGAGCAAGGCAGCCCCAGACGTGGAACGCAGACGCGTCACCAGGAGACCCAGTCCAAAGACGGGTCGGCGAAACCTGCGGCTGCTGAGGGTGCGGCCACAGGTTAAGCTGGTGAGAAGCGTAGTGCACATCGAACGGCCACAGAAAATTGGGTGCACCAGCATGGATCATGGAGGTGCGAGCCACCTCCATGACCAAACCGATGCGTCGCTCAGCGATCCCATTCTGCTGTGGGGAGTCCGGTAGGGTGAACGTCTGGGTGATGCCCTCCGCACGACAAAAACGACCAAGGACGCGTGAGGCAAACTCGTTACCACGGTCGGAGTGAAGGCGCAAGACAGGGAGACCTCAGTGGACACGGGCAGAGACAACCCAGGGGATGAGAGCGTCAGGCACGTCGGCCTTCCGCTCCAGGGGAAAGACCGAGGTGTAGCGGGTGAAGTCGTCGACAAGCACAAGGAAGTAGCGCTCTCGACGCGGCCCATGGACGGGGGCGGGGCCCCAGACGTCCATGTGCAGGGTCTGCAGCGGCGCGGTGGTAGGGGGAAACGAGGAGGAGTGAGGGGCACGACGAAGCCGACCCTCGACGCAAGGCGTGCAAGGTGGGGCTGGGGAGGAGGGAAAAGTGGGGAGAGAACCAGGGAGACCAAGGACGAGACCGTGCTGGGACATGTGACGCAGACGCGGGAGCGCGGGGTGACCTAGGCTGTGGTGCCAAAGGAGAGTCGGGTGAGTGAGGGACCGACAGGAGCAGCCAGCAGCAACCTGGGTAGACGCAGCCACCTGAGGGGGCGCCTCAGCCGGGGGGGTCACGGTGTCCAGAGTGAACAGGCCGGACACCGGGTCCCGGGGGGACGTGGACAGGGGGGCACCAGTGGTGGCCTCGGTACAGACAGCATACCGCTCGTGACCAGGGAACGTAGTGGTGATGCCAAGGTCCTGGAGACAGCCGACACCAACTAGGTTCCTGGAGAACGAGGGGATATGCAGACCTGTAAGAGAACCCGAAAGAACCGCCGGACAGGGAAGGGTGGTGGAACTGCGGGCGACTACCGGACCGCCGGAGGGGTCAGCAAGAGAAACGGCAGCAAGAACAGCAAGCGGCGTCAGTGTAGTAGAGTCGCGGAAGAAGCACCGGGAAGCGCCAGAGTCCAAGGTGAAGGAAAGCGAAGCAGTGGCGTCCGGCGACGGGGCGACGGCGGAAGCACCAAGGCTAAACAAAGCAGGGGATCCAACGCCTGACGCAGCAGGGGAGGCTAAGCTAGGCACACCTACACTAGACGATAGTGAGTAATAAGCGGGAAGCGCACTAGAGTCATCAGCATACATCACATGCAGTGCAGAAACAATGGCATCCATATCCATATCAAAAATCTGAATCCTACGACTAAGCAAACTGTGCTAGTCGGGGAGGTGTGACGATGGGCCGAAGCGCTGACGAAACAGGTCGTCCAGGCGAGGAAAACAGCGGGTAGTGGTATGACCGAGCTTACCGCAAACGAAGCCGCGGCGAGGACCGGTCTGGATCTGGTACTGACAATGCACGCCTCCAGAACCACCACTCGGCACACCATCACGCGCCCGACCACCTCCAGCGCCAGGCCACCAGGGTGGGAGGACACTCGCCTGCCTCGTTTGCTGCGACTGCTGCGACTGTTGCGGTTGCTGCTGCTGCGACTGCGGAGGCGGCAGCTCAGCTGGACCAGGCAGGGTCCCCTCGTCCGCTCCAGCACCAGACAACCCGACTCCACCACCACCCCCTCCTGCACCCCCACCTCCTCCGCCGCGCCCAGCCTTGGGGCGCCGGCCCTTCCCCGAACGAAGCTGCGCTGCAGCAGCAGTCTTTGCCACAGCGACAGAACCGTCAGAGAAGGTACACTGAGCGGGGGCACAACCCTGAAAGATAGGGACCGGCACGGTACCGCTCGCCTGGGCGATGGAGCAGTGGCGGGTCTGAATAACAGTCAGGGTGTCTACAAAGTCGGGGAGGGTGAGCTCACCGGGGTGAATGCTAAGGAAGCGGTCGCGGGCGGCGGCAAGGCGGTCAGGGAGGCGGGTGGCAAGCAGGTAGAGGGTAGAGGTTATGGGCGGCTGGTGGGCTCTAAGCTATGCGTCAATGCAGGCAGCGGGCCATGTCTCATCTATCGAGCGCAGGTGGGCAGCTAGGTCAGAGACTGTGGGGAAAGACGCAAGGTCGGGAAAGAGCATCGGGAGGATCAGGCGACCCACCGAGGCAGCAGGAGGGGTGGAATAGCGCTTGATGACAACATCTAAGTAAGCCTGGGCGGTAGTGATGGACCTAAAGCGAGGGCGCTCGGACGGGGGAAGGGCATTGCTAATGGCAAGCTGAGCGACAGCGTCTCGGGAAAGCCAGTCAGAGCGCGCAAGGGCAGTGGCTGCAGTAGACTCGCGCTCAGCGGGTGTGGGGTCAGCGGGCAGAACAGCAGGGGGGTCTGGGCAGGGGAGCGTACCATCAAGGTGTGGGGAATGCGGGTGGCCATCCTGCCGATAGCCAGTGAGGTGGCGACGGTGGTCGGCGAGCCACGCCTCGAACTCCAGAGGCTGGCCTTCAGCGTCGAAGCGAAGCTCCGCCGCCATCAGGAGCAGTGTAGGACTGTACAGTGCGGTATAGCGCGGTGCAGGGCGGTGCAGGGCGGTGCACTGCGGTGCAGGGCGGTACCGTGCAGTGCGGTGCAGGGCAGTGCCGTGCGGTGCAGGGCGGTACCGTGCAGTGCAGTGCGGTGCAGCTCAGTGCAGTGCAGTACAGGTGATGGGGAACCGTACCAAGGAGGATGCAGGGCCGGGGCCGGGACGACGAGCGGGCCGCACACAGCTCGGGGCAGGACGGGCGCGGGGGCCAGAAGCAGCGGGCACCAGGCCGACGGGACGAGCGCGGGGCCGGCTGGGACGGGCGCAGGGGCCGAGCAGACGGGCGCGGAGGTCGCGAGGGCAGGCGCGGGGCTGGCTGGGACGGCCGCAAGGCAGGCGCGGTAGGGCCAGGCAGGCGTGGCAGGGCCAGGCAGGCGCGGCGAGGCCAGGCAGACGCGGCGGGGCCAGATAGGCGCGGCGGGGCCAGGTAGGCGCGGAGGGGCCAGGCAGGTGCGGCGGGGCCAGCCAGGCGCGGTGGGGCTAGGCAGGCGCGGCGGGGCCAGGCAGGCGCGGCGGGGCCAGGCAGGCGCGGCGGGGCCAGGCAGGCGCAGAGGGGCCAGGCAGGTGCGGCGGGGCCAGGCAGGCGCGGTGGGGCCAGGCAAGCGCGGCAGGGCCAGGCAGGCGTGGCGGGGCCAGGCAGGCGCGGCGGGGCCAGGCAGGCGCGACGGGGCCAGGCAGGGCGCGACGGGGCTAGGCAGGGCGCGACGGGGCCAGGCGGGCGCGACGGGGCCAAGCAGGGCGCGACGGGGCCAGGCAGGGCGTGACGGGGCTAGAAGGCATGACGGGGTCCAGGAGGGGCGCGACGGGGCCCAGAAGGGGCGCGACGGGGCTAGGGGGGCGCGACGGGGCCCAGAAGGGGCGCGACTGGGCTAGGGGGCGCGACGGGGCCCAGGAGGGGCGCGACGGGGCTAGGGGGGCGCGACGGGGCCAGGAGGCGCGACGGGGCCCATGAGGGGCGCGACAGGGCCCAGGAGGGGCGCGACTGGGCTAGGAGGCGCGACGGGGCCCACGAGGGGCGCGACGGGGCTAGGAGGCTCGGCAGAGCCCAGGAGGGGCGCGACGGGGCTAGGAGGCATGACGTGGCCCAGGGGGAAGCGGCGGGGCCTATCTAGGGTACGGGCCGAAGCGGTAGGTGGGGGATCCTAACCTACGCGTGATACCATGTTAAAGTGAGAACTGAATAATTGAGTAGAGAGAGAGTACAGGTGAATATACCTAAGTGTTGTACCCTCTAAGAGGTGGCCCTATACAGTCTATGCAAACATAGGAGATACACATGTTTGACACATGATCCTCCTGTGTCAGGAGCCTCGTCCTCCTGCGCTAGCTGCAGCAGCGCCGCCAGGCCCGCGTAGTACACTTGGCCTCCGGTGCCAACACGGCTGATATCTTTACGAAGGCGCTTGCGCCTGAAGATCATCAGCGGCACTGTGTACATCTTGGTCTTGTTCCCGTAGCGTCTCATTTGCTAGGGCCTTGATTGTGTAGACATTTATATATATATATTGCTCTGACTGGCCTTGTGGCCTCTCCCAGTTGTTGGACTAGCAGTGCCAGCCTAGCCTTGCTCTTGTCTTGGTTTGTACTCGTTTGCCTGGTCTTCAGACCCCTGTCTCAAAGGCTGGACTAGTAGTGCCACCCTGAGCTGCTTGTCTGTTTGTTAGGCACTGCCCCTATACAGTCTAAGGGGTGTGTCAAAACATATCTTAGTATGTTATCGTAGACTGTATAGGTTTGTGCCTTAGAGGGTACAACACTAGCCTATATTCTCCTGTACTCTCTCATTCTAGTTCATTCCATTATTCAAACAAAAACCACCCTGTATCCTTGTTGCTAGTTTATTCCGCTACTCTGAGATTGGAGTCACGTTTCAGTGCGGTTCATTTTGGTTCTGCGATAGTCTGATCCCAATGCGTAGGAATGCGTCTCAACTAGACCTTAAGATTGGAGGCAACTACGGTACCATAGCAGAGGGTTGGTGCTGATAATGAGGTGGTAAAAAATTCCTGATGGTTGCTCTATGATGGTTTGGTTTGCTTCTGGACCATGTAAGGAGCTTGCAGAAAGTGGTTCATTGATTTGCATACTCGGCTCTTTCCTCTAGAATCCCTTGCATTGCATCGGTAGTCTACACTCTTGCGAACAATGGAAGATAACTGTGCTTAACATCGTAGAGTACTCCACTTGCTTTGCTAGAACAATCAACATACTCTACACTACATCAAAAAGGGCTCTACGATGAGGGGGTGTAGGAACAGCAGCAGCCATGACATCACATCCAGTGTGACCACAGGGTACGTCACCCAAGCACCTGCAGCAGAAACGAACCGCAATCAAGCAGGTGGGCCAGCAGGGGACGGCAAGGGAAATGGGAGAAGAGAGTTGCATTGCATGCAACATGGTGCAGGATGAGCCAACCCCAGTGGGAAGCGACAGGCATGAGTCGCAGCTGGTGAGGGAAACACTGCATCCAACTTCCATACCACCTCCACTCCATCCATCACCTCCCCTACCAGAACAAATCACACTAGACTCTTCTCTTTCCCCTTCATCTTCCCTCACCGCCCTCACCACTCCCCACACCCCTCCCCCCTCGCTCACCTTCCCAAGCACGCCTCTGGACATGAGTCGCCCCTCCTCCTCCTCCTGGCCCTCGCCTATCGCCCCCCGCTGCATGTAGTGCCGCAGCGCCTGCTGCCGTGGTGCCTTCTCTCCTCCTTCAGCCGCCCCTGCTGCTGCTGGCGCCTTCGCCTGGGGCAGGGAGCGGGGGGGAGGCGGAAAGTGGAGGGAGGGAGGAAGGGAGGGGGGAGGAGGGGGGAGAGGAAGGGGAGGGGGATGGCAAGGAAACCGAGTTGGGAATGAGGATGGCTGAAATGATGGCTGGAAAAAGGTGCATCGTATGCGGGCATGTAAGGCAGGTCGTGTGACATGGTATTAGCGGGTATGCTCGTGTGAAGCAGCTCCGTTTCAAAACATCGTCATACGGTAGACGTGAGAAACACTTGCGACCGTTCTATCCACCCTCCCTCCCTTACTCGCTCCCTCCCTCCATTCCTCCTCCCCTCCTTCCTAGCCGCCTTCCATACCCACCCAGCCAACTCCCGTACCTTCTTAGCCGCCTTCGCCTGGCGCCTCTGCAGCACCTTGCTCTGCTGCACGCGCGTCACATACGCGTCTCTCTCCTTCGCCGCCACCCGCATCTCCGCTTCCAGCTTCTGATCGCGCACCGCCCGCCGGTAGGCTGCAGGCGGTGGGAGGAAGGGTTTGCAGGAGTGGAAGAGGAGAGTGAGGGGAGGGATATGAGCCGTGAGGGCTAAAAACACTGCGAATTGAAGGTGAGCACTGCTGGGTCGAGTGCAGCCATCTAGAGTACAATTGCGCTCCAGCACCTCTGCGCTCACCTCAAACACCCCATCGCCCCCATCCCGTCAGCTCGCCCCCATCCCGTCAGCTAGCCCCCATCCCGTCAGCTCGCCCCCATCCCGTCAGCTCGCCCCCATCCCGTCAGCTCGCCCCCATCCCGTCAGCTCGCCCCCATCCCGTCAGCTCGCCCCCATCCCGTCGTCACCTAGCCCCCATCCCGTCAGCTGCAAAACCCTGTGTAGCCCCCATGGCCGCACCTATCTCTTCACTGAGGTTGTCCCACTTGAACCGCTTGAGGTACTTGATGGTCCACAGGTCAAAGCGGTGGTGCGAGCGGTTCTTGCCACCTGGGAGAAGGCGGCAGTGAGATGGCGTGCACGTTCATGAATTGAGATGGCGTGCACGTTCATGAATTGAGATGGCGTGCACGTTCATGAATTGAGATGGCGTGCACGTTCATGAATTGAGATGGCGTGCACGTTCATGAATTGAGATGGCGTGCACGTTCATGAATTGAGATGGCGTGCACGTTCATGAATTGAGATGGCGTGCACGTTCATGAATTGAGATGGCGTGCACGTTCATGAATTGAGATGGCGTGCACGTTCATGAATTGAGATGGCGTGCACGTTCATGAATTGAGATGGCGTGCACGTTCATGAATTGAGATGGCGTGCACGTTCATGAATTGAGATGGCGTGCACGTTCATGAATTGCGATGGCGTGCACGTTCATGAATTGCGATGGATAAATCGGGGGGGGGGGAGGGGGAGAGGAGGGGGTTGGGAGGAGACAAGATAGAAAGTGAGGCCACAGGCAGGAGAGAGCGATTGACACACGAGAGGAGATAGGGGTGAGAGGAGAGGAGCGAGAGAGAACTGGGCGCTGCAGATAAAGTTGTATGAAAATGGAAGCGAGGGAGAAGCGCAACGCTGTAGAAGGTGCGGAGAGAGAGCGCACCCATGGGCTGGCCGTTGAGCAGTGCCGCCACCCGCTTGGCGTCTCTCTTTCGCTCAAACTCCACCCACCTGACCAAGGGGACAGCGGGCGCAACGCACGACAAAGGATGGGGTGAGGGACGGTGGGCAAGGGGTGAGAGAGAGAAGTGGCAGCATGGCGCGAGGGACCATGCACGAGGCCACACGGACATGCCACGAATGCCACTCTATGATATGGCCAGCCTAAGTCAAGTCGATTCATGAATTGATAAAAAGGGGCAAGCAACCGCGCGCTGAGGTAAGCCTGCAAACAAATAGCACTGGTTTCGGATTCGTATTCGGTATTCGACAAATATCAAATACAAAACGAATCTGACATCCTGAAGCTATTCGGCAGTATTCGACTCTCAAATATTCGCAAGTTCCGAATATTCGACACTCAAATATTCGATATTCGGGAAAATATTCGTATTCGTGTGAGCCTACCATTCATCTCCCCGACTCCCCTTTCCTCTCAAAATCAGCAGCGCAGTATAAGCAAAATCGGTGAAATCTGATGGTCGCGCGATTGGCTGATTGCGGCCTCCATAAAACCAATCAATCGTGGACAAAAACTAAAACAGGATTCTTGAGCGTGACATGTTGTTCCATAAATAACCTGCCCAAATCACAGCTACTTCGACAATATGCCAGGAGTGGAAGTGATTGGGGAGGGGGGTAATAGACTATCAAGGTTAGAGGGGCTATTTCTATCTCGGTCTTTGGTGGGAAGCCCTAGAAGACACCCGAAACCCTGTTCTGACCACCTATTCGTATTCGATTCCGTATTCGTCGCAAAACCGAATATTCGAACCATATTTGTATTCGAATAGGAAGTGGTATTCGATCAAATACGAAAACACACAAGTATTCGACAAATACTTTTTTTTCCTGCCGTATTCGATACCGTATTCGTTTTTGCAGGCTTACGCTGAGGCCAGGCCAGGAGGCGAAGAAGCCATTCCAACTCTGCCGTGGGGCATTGGTTCCAGGCTCTGGGGTTTAGGCTCTGGGATCAAGAAGGTGAGATGATGGATGCGACACATGCATACTAGCCCTTCAACCCTCAACCATACCTGGAATCCCAAACCCTTCCCCTTCAACCCCCTAAACCCTCCCCCTTCAACCACGCAAACCCTTCCCCTTCAACCCCAAAACCCTTCCCCTTCAACCCCAAACCCTCTCTCTTCAACCTCCTTCAATCCTCGCTAAACCCTGAACCGCGACTACCACCCACCCCTCTGTAAAGTTCTTGTTTCGGCTGCCCCCTGCTGCCCGCCGCCGCTGACGGGCTGCCGGATCTGTTGACGGGTAGGTTGAATGGGGGAGGGGTAAAAGGGGAACGGGGGAGCGGGAAAGGGGGAATGGGGGAGGGGAAAAGGGGGAATGGGGGAGCGGGGGCGCAACGAAGGCAGGGCGCAGTTCAGGTTGCAGAGCACACCTGGGGGGGGGGGAAGAACGAGAGAGTGAAGGGAGTGTCGGGGCGTGGCGGATGCCAATTGCAAACACCAGGCTTTGGAAAGCCTCGTCGCGAGCAGCGGCGTACCTTGGGTCGCGAGGCGTACCTTCGGGCGCGAGGTAGATCCGGAGGATTTCCGCGTGCGGCGACAGCAGGTGACGCAGCTTCAGAGGCTTCATGCGAGGCGGTATTCGCGAAAGGTAACACACGCCCGTCTTATGCCGCTTCTTTCCTTTCGTTAATTTCGCCTGCTTTCGCTTTTCGCCCTTTCCCTGCCCGTCCACTCCAAGCCCTTCCCCTTTCCGCCGCTTCCGCCCTTTCTCCCCCGACCCCTCTCCTTTCTCCGCTTCCATCGCATCTCCCTCACTCTCGTTCCCGCTTCTCTCCTCATCCCCCTCCTCGCTGTCACTCTCGCTGTTATCGCTTCTCCCTTCAGCAGCACCGCAATTCGCCTCTAACCGTAACCTACGCGCACCCGTCGCGTCGCCATGTCTCTTATCTGCGCCTCCCCCTCCCTCTTCCGCTCCTCGTTCCTCTGAGCCCTCCTCTCCTCCCTCCTCTTTCTCCCCTCGATCCTCGGATCCTTCCTCCACCTCCTCTTCCTCGTCGCTCCCCATCTCTCCCTCCTCTACCTCCCACTCCTCCATCCCGATACCCCCTGTCAACAGTTACGCCTACACCAAATAGATTCACAATTCAGGCTATACCTCTGTCGCCTCTGCCACCTCGAAGTGGCTGCTAGCTGCAGAGCACCTTACAGCTAGTTGGCTCCGTTGGCACCAGAAGAACTAGAACCAACACGGGGGTTTCGGGTACGCGTTAAAAGCACCTGTCGTTTGAGAATACGCTGCAACACGTTCATCCTGTCATACCGAATCGAGGTTCCTTAAGATTACATATTGGACAAGACAATTCAACATGGTAAAGAATCCCCACAATTTTCCAAGGGTTTCAGAGCATGAACGGGCTGTCGTGAAAATTGCGGGGGGGGAAACTGATATATTATGGAAAAATTCAAAGCTTTTGATTTCATCCGCGAAGCATTTTGTATGGATGGATGCATGGAATGGAACATATCATTGCGCTACCTGAACGGAGTGAAAGTAGTCTTTCATGTAATTTTCCTGTTGAAGGATATATATACATATGTTTTATTTCATTTCTTACAGCGGGTATTTACAATACATTTGTAGCATTTTCCTCGGATATTTGGTTGTCTAACAACCCTATTGTTGGGCTGAGAAAAGCCCTTAGGATCTTTTGCAGAGACTAAGTCCCAGCTGTAGAGACTTGAGACTTGGAGTAGTGCAGCGGAAGTTGAGGCAGTTGAACCCTTGTACTAGTATGTGAGAACAAGTGATTGATTAAAGAAACAAGCATACAGCAATATATAGAAGATAAGAAAGCAGTTGTAGAATACAGTTACAAGAACGGTTTATCGAGTCGCACAGCGACTCGATTGCCGCTTCGGTTACCATCCGTGATGTTGTAACGGTCAGTCGCAACCTCCAGTTGCGACCTTTCGAGTCCTTTCGCATTCTTTGTCCGCCCCCTCGTGTAACCTCCGTTGACTCGCGTGCTCCCCTGTAATCTTCCTCGAGTACAGTGTTACACTTCAGAAACGCTTAAGTCCTTGAGATATTTCCAACACTCCCCTTCGTTTCTGGAGTGCTGGAGTGTTCAGATCCGGTGACGTTTGTTTGCCCGGTTAGGAGCATGCAGTAGTCGAATTTTGCTTTCGCCAATTTCTTCGTCAGATAATCTGAGGCCATTTCTGTCGTCGGGCAGTAACTGAGTTGAAGTCTCCCCTTCGCGATTTCATCCTTGACGAAGAAGTACCGCAGGGCGATGTGCTTGGTTCGGTTGGCGAAGCCGTCCTTGTTCGCGATTTTGATCGCAGATTGGTTGTCGCAGAGGAGTGAGAAGGCGGGCAGGGTCGCGATCTTCGCTTCTTCGAGTAACTCTCGTAGGTAGAGTCCTTCCTTGGTCGCAGTACAAAGGGCGATATACTCTGCTTCAGCCGAGGATAGTGCGATTAACTCCTGCTTGCTCGACTGCCAGGAGATAGTTCCGATAGGTTCTAGTCGGTAGATGTAGCCCGTCCTAGACCGTCGATTTTCGCTGTCTCCCGCGTGGTCGGCGTCGACGTATCCGAGTAGTTGTACGGACGGTGTTGTTGCCTTGCTGTAGGTGAGCCCGATCGTCGGCGTGGAGACGAAGTAGAGTAGCGCTCGATTGAGTTCTTCGAGATCTTCCTGTTGCAGCTGCTTCAGATGTGTCGCCAGCTGACTCGCACTATAGGATAGGTCGGGTCGGCAGGTTACTGCTGCGAATAGTAGGCAGCCGAGCTTCTGTTGATACTCCTGGATTTGTTTCGCGGGGAGTTTTGTGGAGGCGCTACTGTTGTTCCCATAGCGGTAGGGAGTTGGGACCGCAGTCGGTGCTAGACCGAATTTCTTCGCGACGGTGCTTGAGTACTTTCCAGCGTGTAGGTAGAACGCCGTGTCGTCTTCGACGATGTTCAGTCCTAGGTACTGGGTAACTTCGTCGGACACCGTGAGCGTCAGGTCCCTTTTCAGCTCCCCTTCGAACCAGGTGACGATGTCGGTGGTAGAACCGATGTAGAGCAGGTCGTCGACGTAGACGATGAGCAGAATGTAATCTCTTCCCTTCTGTAGTCGGTACATGCCTTGGTCATGTGGTAGCTGTAGGAATCCGATTTTTACGAGCCGGCCGTGAAGGTGCTGCTGCCAGAGCCGTGGGGCTTGCTTGATCCCGTAAAGGGATTTTTCCAGCTGGCATACTTTTGAAGGGTCGTCGATGAATCCGTGGGGTTGTTCGACGAAGATTTCGGCGTCCACAGGTGCGTACAAGAAGGCGTTTGCAACGTCGATTTGCCGTAGTGGTAGTTTCTTCGTGGCCGCGATGGCGAGTAGGATGCGCAGAGAGGTGTGACGGGAGACTGGAGCGAAGGTTTCTGTGTAGTCGGTTCCGTATCGTTGATCGAAGCCTCGTACGACCCATCGAGCTTTGAATCGTTCGATGGAGCCGTCTGAGTTGGTCTTGATGCGGTACACCCATTTCCCCGAGAGAATGTTCTTCCCGTTGATGCTCGTTGCAGGTACCAGTTTCCATGTTTCTCGGTCTTGCAGAGCTTTTAACTCTTTTTCCATCGCTTCCTTCCATTGTGCCTTATGTTCCCCCCCCAGAGCCTGCGACAGGGTCGACGGCTCGCGCGGAGAAGGCGGCGGCGGGTGCTGGACGGAGACCCATAGTCCTAGGATCTGCAGTCCCGTGGCTGTGTGTCGAGGGGAGTTTTCATTCTCGGGATAAGCTGCTTCATCACCGTCTTCAGGATCGGGTAAGAAGTTTGGCCCGATGCGTTCGGAAATATTCGAGTCGACGGGGTGTGGTGTAGCGTAGCCTTGGTCAGCGAAGTGGTAAAAGGTGTCGAGGTTGTTGCTATCGAGGGGATTATCTTCATCGAGTGGAACAGGTACGGAGCAGTAGGGGAGTGGTCCGGCAGCCTCCGAGGCTCCAGGGACGTCTTCTTCTGCTGCGTCAGCCTCGGCAGCATGGTCAGCGAAGGAGCGAAGGCCCGCGAAGCCGTCGGTGGGGTCGTCTGAGTTGGCAATGTTGTCCAGGTAATGCTGCAGCGTCAGTCGCTCGTAGAAGATAACATCACGTGATGCCACCGTATTTTTGTCGTGTATGTCGAGAATCTTCCACGCGTGAAAATGTTTGGCGATGCCGAGGTGTAGTCCCCACCGAGCTCGTTGAGTGAAGCGTCCTGCTCGAGCTGTGTGGGGTCTGTATTGTACCATGCAGCCGAAAACTCGAAGTAATTTTGTGCTGCCCCTTTTTCCCGTCCACAGCAGGTGCGGTGATGCGTTGTTGGGGAGCGATGACGAGGACAACAGGTTGTGCAGGTGGACTGCATGTGTCATCGCGTCTGGCCACAGTGTATTGGGCAGCCTCATCCCCAGAAGCAGTTTTCGCATCGTCGTCTGCAAGGTCCGGTTCATGCGTTCTGCTACCCCCTGCTGCTGGTGAGCATAGGGCAGAGACACCAGGCGTCGGATTCCCCTTTCCGCGAGATAGGTCCTGAAGCGTTGTGACTGGTATTCCAGTGCACCGTCTGACTGGAAACTCTTGAGTTTGGTTCCTGACTCTCGTTCGGCGATTGGAAGCCATGTGGTGAAGGCCTCGAAGGCTTGATCGCGCGTTTTGAGATTGAAGTGCCAGACGTATCTGGTTGCGGCGTCGATGAACGTGATGACGTAGTTGAAATCGGCTTCGGTGTCGTCTCGAGGCATGTTTAGAATATCGCTGTAGACCTTTTCCATCGGAGCGTAAGTGGGTGCGCTTGGATTGTGATGGGCTGGGAAAGGTTGATGAGGAAGATCTGCTTCGGGGCACGTGAAGCATCGTGCTCTTGGTCGGCGAAGTTCTTGGCCGCTCGTCGTTAGAAGGGCGTTACGTTCTAACACCTCTGCTTGTATTGTTTGTAGTATCGTGCTGTTTGCAGGGTGTCCGAGACGTTGGTGCCAGATGTCGTCGGGAGCGCGGTGACCGGGCGAGCGGTGGTAGATGTCGGCGTTGGAGAAGAACGCGACGACCGAGGCGGGACTTCGACAAGCTTCTCGTGTGGCGGGCATAAGTTGGTCTGCTTCCGTTGGCGGTCCTCGTGTTGATGGTGGTGGTACTCGGCTGGGTCCTGCTGCCGATACTGCAGGTGATGGTTTTGTTGGGACGCTTGCTGGTACTTGTCTTTCTTGTCTGATAACTGCTAATGCCCGTGTTCTCTCTGCTGCAGGTATGGTGTTGGAGTGCCAGAAGCCGTCACTGTCGAAGTCGGGATCAAGATCTGGTGGGTGAGTCCAGGCGGCGAACGATACGATGCCATCGCTGTCGGCAGTTCCGCGGTCGGGGACGAAGTCCAACACGAAGACACCGGACTTCAGGAGGGCACGACCGATGAAGAGACCGCCCTTCCCGTGGTAAAGTCGGAACTCGTTGGAGAAGGAGTCGCACTCCAGGTGAATCCCCTTAGCCATTAGTTGGCTTACGCTTAGTAGGTTGTATCCCAGATTGTCGACGATGAGGACTTTGTTGAGCTGAAGAATAACGTTTGTCTCCATTGATTGTAACTGAACCACGCCTTGCCTGTTTGTTTTCAGGTTTTCGTTGTTGGCGACGGTGATGACGACGTCGCGGTTGAGGCGTCGCTCGTGTTGTACGAAGCGTCCGGAGGAGCACATGTGCTGACCGCAGCAACTGTCCAAGAACCAGGTGTTCCGCCCGGTGGGTTCGGCGTTAGCGACTGCAGCGTATGTCGGGTTGACCTGAAGTCCTTGCGAGCGCGGCGGCGGGAATTCCTCTTCGTCTGGTGCGTAAGTGGGTGGTGAAGCGGGTGCGCAGTTGTCGATGTGTACCATGCAGTTGATGATGTTGGGTGTTTGTTGTGCAGATGTTGAAGAGCGCCTTGGAGGACTTGCTTGAGTGGAAGCGACTTGTGGGTCTGCTGCACGGTAAACGCGAGGGCGGTTGCAGTTGACCTTGGAGTGCCCGGAAGTCTGACAGTTGTGGCAGAACGGCGGCACGATGGTGAGTCCTCGGTTGTCGCGTTGATCTTGCTTGCTGCGTCGGTTGTAGTTGTTGTCATTTCTTCTTTGAGTGTAGAAGACTAACTGCTGTTGCTTCCTTGGTTGTCTTTCCTCGAACAGATCCATCTCCTGTTGTTCAGCGTGAAGCTCGGCGCAGAGGTGCATCTCCGAAATTCTTCCGTGGGCTCGAAGAAGTGATCGTGTGGTTCTCCATTCTGGCCCGAGCCCGGCGAGGACAAGTGTCACGAAGCTTTCTTCAGTGATCGTTCCTCCGCACCGAAGCAGGCGGTCGCGGAGGGTCTGGCAGCGACTCATATACTGCATCGCCTTTTCCTCGGTCTTCATCTGTATTGTTGTCAGCTGTTGCATGAGTCTGCTTTGTGTCACGCTGTCGTTTGCTTGGTAAAGGCATTTGAGGTGGTGCCATGCGAGCTCCGCGGAGTTTCCATAACTCCGATACGTTCTGATGCTCTGCTGCTCTTGTGGTGACAGGTTTCTCAGGAGTACCGTGTACGCCAGCAGCGACTGATACGTGAAGATCTCTTGTTCCTTCCCAGTGCCGTTGCTTGGGAATGGCAGGGACCCGTTGAAGTATCCCAGAAGATGCGCGGCCTCCATCAGCAGCTCAAACTCGAAGCTCCAGGTAAAGAAGTCGTGTCCGTTGAACGGTGAGGATGTCTGAAGTTTGATCACGTGTGAGAACTGCGCCTGTAAACTTAAGATTTCATTCGGTGTTTGTTGTGAAGCAGCTGCTGTTGGCTGGGCACGGGGCGGCATGAATTCGAACGTCCCCGGCGAAGAATGATAAGGCGCAAAGGTAGGCGCTTGGTTGTGTCGCCCGAAGGATGAGTTGTCGAGGCTCATCGGCGCTAATCCCATATTCCCTCCATTGC